CTTTCTTTCTTTCTTTTTTCTTCCTTCCTTCCTTCCTGTTGTTGACCTCCTTTCCAGTTAGGCTGTGGGAGGGAAGGTGCTTACTGTGAACGGTTTTCCACTGGCACTGAACTGCTGAGCAGCTGGAGAGGGAGGGTGGAATGGAAGGTTTAGTTTCACATACAGTAGGCTACAGTTTGTGATACTTTCACATTTTTGTAGATAGCTTTTTTTCCTCCCCTGCTGGCCCACAGTTAAAGGGGAGGGATTGAACAGAAAGCACAGACTCCTAAAACCAGATGTGAAAAATTGGTTCGTACTGTACCAAGAGTTAAGTATGACTTGAAGCCCTAAGTTTAAAATGCACTATTGGCCATTTCCTTCTAAGGCGAAATTACCGGTGCCCCCTTCTAACCTGGGTGTGGTCCTTAGGGCTGGATAAAATTCCTGAGTGGAGAGGTCAGCGCCAGGGGCTGGCTCCGCCTAGCACTGGTCGGCTGGGGTGGGGGTGGTAAGTAGAAGCCCCAGGAAGGAACGCGGGGAGTGTGCCTGTGCCCGCGGCCGAGGGCGTGGACCTAACTGGAGGGCCGCGCCGCCAGCTCCGAAGAGGACAGAGGCAAGGACAGGACGCCCTCATCCCCAATCCTGGCCAGAACTGCTGCGTCTGGGTGTTAGGACTGGGAGAGGGGCCAGGGGATGGGTACCTGGGAGAGAGGGCGGTAGGACCCGGCGGGAAGCTTCCTTGACCAGGGAGGGAACCGGGCGGGAGGAAAGAGGGAGGGAGAGAGAAAAGGGGAAGGTGATGGGGAGCGGGCGTCCGCACTTGCTGAGCCGCACGAGTTGCACGGCTCAGGCAGACCGGACCTGGACTCTATAAAAGGAGCCCATCTGCTCTGCTGCTCACTCGCTCCTCCCGGGCTGGCGCACGCATTGTTCTCCCGGCTCCCCAAGACACCTGCCCCTTCCCCGCGTGCCGCGCCAGGTCCCCCAGACCCGTGCGCCCAGCAGCATGGCTCCAAGCGGTAACTCTGGGACCGAGGTGGCGGCGGCGGTGGCGGCGCATAGCGAACAGCCGCAGCCCCAACCCCTGAATCCCCCCTCTTGCGGCCCCGTCTCCGCGGGGCAGCTCGCCGGAGTGGCCAGCGCGTGAAAAGAAGGGAGGGCAGAGCCCCGGCGCGAGGCGCGGCGCAGCGCGGCTCCCAGACTTCACCCCACCCAGCTCTGGCGGCCGAAGCCTCCGCAGGAAACTGCCCCAGTCTGGGGAGGGGGGCGGGAATGCACGACCAGGACTCCTGGCTGGCCTGCAAGCTTTGGTCTCCACAGCTAGGAAACTCCTGCGGGCCGATTCTGCAGATCAAGAAGCGCCCGGGTTAGGAGACTCAGCCCCGAGCAATTGGGGTAAGAGACCCTACCTGGCTGATGCTCCCTCCTCAAACAATACATCGCCCTCCGGCACTAGACGCCTAGGTGGGATTCGGAGTGGCTAGACGCCTAGGTGGGATTCGGAGTGGCTAGATGCCTAGGTGGGATTCGGAGTGGCTAGACGCCTAGGTGGGATTCGGAGTGGAGCGGGTCTCGGTGGGCCAGTCCTTAGCAACCCAGGGCTACGACGGGGCGTGGAGAGGAGCAGGCAGGGACGCGGCTGCAGCGCCTGGCGCACTGGAAGTGCAGAGGACGCGCTCGCCTGCCTAGGCTGCCGCGCCCTTGACCTCTAGTTTCAGCAGGGAATCTGGGTGGAGGAATAATTTAGGAGCCCACGGAACTGACTAGCAACCGGGAGACAAGACTTTGGTCTCCGCGGTCCTTCCGCCCTTTCCCTCGTTTGCTCCATGCCCAAGAGCTGCGCTCCAGAGCCGTGCCGGCGAGGAGAGACATGGAAGACACCGGCACTCAGTGCGCCCCGCCGCCGCCCGCGGGCTCCCAGACCGGGGTTTCTCAAGCCAATCTCTCCTCTGCTCCCCACAACTGCAGCGCCGAGGGCTACATTTACCAGGACTCCATCGCCCTGCCCTGGAAAGTACTACTGGTCATGCTGCTGGCACTCATCACTTTGGCCACCACGCTCTCCAATGCTTTTGTGATCGCCACTGTGTACCGGACCCGGAAGCTGCATACCCCAGCCAACTACCTGATCGCCTCCCTGGCGGTCACGGACCTGCTCGTATCCATCCTGGTGATGCCCATCAGCACCATGTACACGGTTACCGGACGCTGGACGCTGGGCCAGGTGGTCTGTGACTTCTGGCTGTCGTCGGACATCACCTGTTGCACCGCTTCCATCCTGCACCTCTGTGTCATCGCTCTGGACCGCTACTGGGCCATCACGGACGCTGTGGAGTACTCAGCTAAAAGGACTCCCAAGAGGGCCGCGGTCATGATCGCGCTGGTGTGGGTCTTCTCTATCTCCATCTCGCTGCCGCCCTTCTTCTGGCGTCAAGCCAAAGCCGAGGAGGAGGTGTCGGACTGCGTGGTGAACACCGACCACATCCTCTATACGGTTTACTCCACGGTGGGCGCTTTCTACTTTCCCACCCTGCTCCTCATCGCCCTCTACGGCCGCATCTATGTGGAAGCCCGCTCCCGGATTTTGAAACAGACGCCCAACAGGACCGGCAAGCGCCTGACCCGAGCCCAGCTGATAACCGACTCCCCCGGGTCCACGTCCTCAGTCACCTCTGTTAACTCGCGGGCTCCCGATGTGCCCAGCGAATCCGGGTCCCCTGTGTACGTGAACCAAGTCAAAGTGCGAGTCTCCGACGCCCTGCTAGAGAAGAAGAAACTCATGGCCGCTAGGGAGCGCAAAGCCACTAAGACCCTGGGGATCATTTTGGGGGCCTTTATTGTGTGTTGGCTGCCCTTCTTCATCATCTCCCTGGTGATGCCTATTTGCAAGGATGCTTGCTGGTTCCACCTGGCCATTTTTGACTTCTTCACGTGGCTGGGCTATCTCAACTCCCTTATCAACCCCATCATCTATACCATGTCCAATGAGGACTTCAAACAAGCATTCCATAAACTGATACGCTTTAAGTGCACAGGTTGACTTGTCAGTTGCAATGGGGTAGCCTGAGCGGCCTTTGGGGACCATGTTGGGTCTGGTTCCACAGGTAGGTCGACTCTTCTTTCACTGTTACTGGGTCGGATTGAGGCTCTGTCTTCTGGGCAAGGGCAATGGATCCTGAGAAGCCAGGACAGCCCTGAGAGAGAGCTCTGAGAGGAGAACTGTTCAAACTAAAGATAGAGCTTCCCTGCTAAGAGGCTCACTTCCTCCCCTCAAACCCCAGGTCCAGCACTGACCTTGCGGCAGCCAATCACAAGGGAGAGCTGTAACTTTTTAAAAATCAGTGATGGAAGGGGGATCCCTGCCCTGCTTTGGTATCATGGATCATGCCCTCTAGAACCAGTGGTACTTGTTGTCTGAAGCCTGTCTGAGACAGATCTACATACAGCCTGGCAGTACTTGAACTAGTACTAGTTTTGGGGAGAACTTTGTGTTACAGCTTCATTTAAGAAGAGTTACTTTGGCATCCTTCAGTCTCCAGTTTTTGTTTATTTAAACTTGGTTGGAGAAACTTGTGGATTTGGTGCTTCAAATCTTATGTGTGGCTTGGATGATGCAGAGAAACCTTGAAGAGTTAACAGCAAAATTCTGATGTTAAGATCTCTATTTTTATTATAGTTGAAACTATATGGGGTTGGTGGGTGGGAATGGGAGATGGGGAGCATTAAACTGAGAACCAACACCTATGACTGTTTATTTTCTGCAGATTTATAATTTTTTAAATTCCTATTTAGTGATTGTCAAACCACATTCTAACAACTCAAACAAAACATTATGTGTGCTAGTGCCAAAGTCTGCAGATTGCTTTATTTTTCCTCCTAATTTCATGTACCTGTTATTTTAGACATTTAAATCCCCATAAATGAAGGATATGATGGGTGACTCAGCCCAAGCTGCTGCTGTATTTCTTATTAATGCAGTCGATTAAGCTGATGAGTATATACTGTTCCTTAACAAGGAAAGTATCATTCTTTCTCCAATTCCGGGAGATGTAAAGGAGACTGATAAAATAGAAATGGTTCTTCTATAATTAAGGAATGGGGGCAATAGGAGGATGTATATTTTGACTTGTAAAAAATCTTAAATGCATGAGACTTTTTTCTGATAGTCATTTACACTCCTTCCCATCTGTAATTCCTTTGTGTGCTAACATGAAGTAACCAAGAGAACCAGCTCCTTTTTCCAAAAATCTTCAAAGTGCAGTAGGAACCCAAAAAACTATATTAAAGAAAAAAAAAAACTTGTTTTTTTTCCCTTGCTATTGAAGTTTGGGTGGGACCAAAGATTATTAGAAAATGACATGCAAGGACTTTATAAAAGCTTAGAGAAGCTAAAAGTGAGCCTGTTTTTCCTGTAACTCATGGAACCAAACCTGACCTACTAGGCCATCAGGGAACTGACAAGATTTTGAACCTGGGAAATTCATCACTGACCTGATACCTCAATGAATATAATATCAGTAATACTTTATATTTATCTGTCTTTTCAAATTTCAGTAATACTTAGTTGTTATCTCAAACTCACTCTGAGGACTCTCCAACACAGGGAAAGATGAACACAACAAAAGATGAAAAATACATTATCTAAATAAAAAGGAGTAGCCCTGAAGGATCATCTGCACAGGAAAAAAAAAAAAATCTCTATGTGGAGCATTTAATAGGCCAAAGAAGATTTCCACACTGCATTCTTCAGAGAGCTTTCTGCTGTTTGATAGCTTTTGTCTGCAGGAGCAGGTTGTCTTTGTAAAATGGATTCCCTCCCTGCTTGAAGCTCCCCAGTGCAGCCTGTTGGACAATAGGTGTCTTGAGCTGAAGTAGCTGCTGGTTCCCTACTATGCAGACCTTCACTCTGGGCTAACGACTCTTGAAAATAGACTATTCAAAAGTTCACACATGCACAACGTAAAAAGGGGGATTTTGATCAACATTTACACCTGTCGCTGGAGTAAAATAAAATTTTAGGCATTGAACAATCCCTATATTTATGTGATTTCCCAAGGGTTTTTGTTTGTTTGTTTTGTGACATTTCTCCTATGGAGAAATCTAGTTTAGTACTGATAGGAATGTGCATCCAGCACGTATTTGCTTCTATGTTACCAATATGTTTGTCTTGTGTCTGTGCAGCTGTTTTCTTTGGGCCTAAGAAACAATTAAGCGAACTTCTAGGAGCCTGGGGGGGGGGGTGAAATTAATTGAAATAAATAGCCACTTAGAAATGACTTCTTTATAGGGCACCTACAATGATTGTGTCCTCATATTAACAAAACACCATCAACTTAGTCACATGGGTTGCTTGCCATTTGTAGATTACCCACTTAACGGTTTTGCTTTATTATTTGGCTGAATTGACTGAATTTGGGGCATATTGTGTGAAGTAGAAGCTTGCAAACCCTTGTAGTTACAAGAGATCTTGAATCATCGTCCAGCATTGCACATGATAATGCAAAGTGTGCTCATCCCAGGGTATGTAGTTCAGACTGTTAAGTTCCTCGTCAGTTACTGCTGCCTCTAGCATAGTTTGTTTCCTAAACTAGACATATGGCTTTTTCCCAGAACATAAAATGGGAGATGGAAATGTGTAACTTACATAGAAATGAAAATATATTTTCACTGGCTGTGGTAACAAATAACATTTGCCATATTGTTTAATTGCACAAAATTTCACACAAATACACGAATGTATACTCATTCAAAAAATACCAATATTGTCTTGTGTTTCTAGGAATTTTAGAGTTTCCTTTTTAAAAACGGACATGGCACCCATGAAGGAATGGTTATGGAGTTCAACAAATTTCCTACAGAGTAATATTCTTCACTTTTCCTCTCTATTATCTTAGTTTTATCTTCTTTCACCAGGAAACCTTGAGAGGACTATAATTCACTCAAGCAGTAAAATCTCAGATTATGTGTATTTGATGGAGTCCTGTGACTGAAAATTGCCTTTGGTGTTCCACCTTTCAACAGATGTGTAATTGGAAATGACATTTAGGAAACTAATGAAATAAAGTCCTTTTCGTGTTCAAAAAAGAATGGGTGGTGATTCTATTAGTAGAGAAAGATCGGTTCTTTGGATTCTGGGCTGCATTTAGGACTTTGAACCTGCAAGAGAGAATAATTGAGGAGAAACGTGGCTGTGGTGGACTGCCCCAAGTACTGCCACAATGTGGGGGATTTCGTTTGTAGGAAGAATTTAAAAGGAATGAGGCAGATCATGCTCTCACATGCTGCAAAGAAGGTAAGTCGGATGCACCATCACAAGAGTTTTCCAGATCCCTACTTTCAGAGGGAACGTTTAGTCTCTAGGCTAGGTAGTGAGATTCCAAGGTACTGCATGCTGTTGGAAACACAGAAAAAGGAAACGGGGAAACAGGGTTAGAAGCAGGGTTGGGGAAACAGGAGAGGAGGAGACCGACCTATGGGAACAGGAGAGGAATAGACAGAAAAACTTGGAATCAGGAAGTCCTCAGTTTGAATAGCAAATGGAGCACCTTAGAGCTGTGTGGCTCTCCTCAAAGGGAGCCTACTTGCAATTTGTTGCGTGCATCTGTGCCTGGAAAGCACCTGTCAAAATACCTGACACTCAGCCCATGTACTTCCTCTTTAGCCATTATTTCCCCCATCGCCTCCACTGTGAATGCACGGCACCTGTAGCTATTAGAGAGAGGTTGAACTGGGGAGGACCAAGCTAGCCTGAATGGGAGAAACCTGGCTAGACTAGAAGTGACGGAAGTTAGGAGTCTTTCACACTCATCCACTTAGGCCAGTGAAAAAAATAGCCCAAAGGCCAAAAGCAAACATGAGGGTTGGTTTGCCGTGGCCTTAATGGCCAAAAAGGAAATTGCCAAATATTTCACTTCCTATAGCATCGTTTTAAACTCTTCTCCTTCTTCGTCTAGAGATTTTCCCCAGAATCCAGAGCCTCTCACCACATCTGCATCTTTCCTTAGTGTTTCATTTTCCACTTTTGTGCTTTTCTCTTACCCATGAAAAGCCATGATAACCAATGATAACGTGTTGATCTAATACGGTTCTTATTTTAACTCCGGAGGGCTGATTTGGCAGCCCAGGCTTTTACATATATAAAAAAGGTGTTGATTCAAATTAATGTATAATTAGTGGCGGCAAAAGCTTTTAACTGGGTCAGCTCCTGGAGCTTTCGCGAGGGTAGAGGCTCGTAGGGGGAGTAAGTGGGTGGCAAGCGAAGCTTCCGCACCTTCATCAAAGTCCATCCTCGAACAGTCCACCAGGGGGCAGAGTGCCGCTGAGTTGTTTCCAGGATTCAGATGCTCACCATTGACCATCTCTAACTCCTTTCCGGATACTGCAAATGGTATTGACTTCTCTAGGCTCAGTGAAATGAAGATCCATGAGCCAAGGGAAACGGGGCTTATCATTTATTTAAAATAGATTTTTTACAACTGCAAATTCAGGCAGAGGATCCCTAAAACAAACCTAAAATTCTTCATATATGAAAAATCAATTATTTTCTTACTCATCTCTAGTCCTGGGAAATGCTAAAATCTTAGTACTTAAAACATTGTGACCTTTGATTAACGTGGCAATGGGTTAATTCAGAGGTTAGAAGACAAAGAATTTATATTCAAATTAAAGAGAACTAATTACTTAGATCTTTTGCCACTGTGATTTTTCTCATCACTGTATTTTTCTTTCCAAAATTTCATTGGTTTGAGGTTGATACATCCATAGTTCAAAAGTGAAACATTTGTCATTTACCATTTAAAGAGAGGGCTGGTTTTTTGCACAGAAGTAAGGTATACTTACATGTCAGGTTTCCCCAGAAGGCAGACTTTTAAGTCTGTGTAAGCTGGGCATTTACTTTAAAAAGAGGCACATATAAATGTGAGTACAATATTATGTATCACAAACATAAATTTCTGTGTCAGAGAATGGATCACATAAAATGAGAAAACAAGTTAGGTTATATCATTGCCATTCCTCCTTAACTGTTCCTCCCTGGCATTT